GCAGGAAACCTTCGAGCGCGTGGGGGCTGGACCAGGGTGGCACTGGAGGAGGGGTGTCTCGGAAGCTGGCAGAGGGGCTTGGGGAGAGCTGGGGCAGGACAGCCTGGGGGAGTGGGTGGGCAGGGGCAGGCCCGGGAGAGCTCTGCTTCCAGGGGAGCAGGGGGTAAGCGGAGGCTCTGCCTGGTGTAAGGGCACCTTGTAGCTGCCAGTCCTGCTGGCGGGGGGGGAGCCTGGGCCAGGACGGACCCAGGGGAGCACAGCCACCGGCCAGGAGGGCCACTCCTTGGGGCTGCCAGGGAATGGTGCGGGGACGGACGGATGGATGGGCACACACTTCGCAAGCTTGACACACTCAGAGACACACACAGACACACACTCGCCCCAACACGCAAACGCAGATCTACTTGGACATGTCCCCTCGCACCCTGCGACAGGCACACACCTGCTGGGACATGCGCGTGCGTGCACACAGGTGCACACCACCTGGGGCGCCCCGGGATGCCCTGGGCCGGCGGGGCCCAGGCCGGCCTGCGGCTGGATGACTCATGCTCCATGGTTCCCGTTAGCCGGCTGCAGCCAGGCAGCCTTCCAGCAGCCGGTCAGACAGACGCACACGTCACTGCCAGGAACGGGCCCTGGCCACCTCCCGTGTCTCAGGCCCGAGCATGATGAAGCGCGGTCCTGTCCTTCAGGTGGGGACACGGGCACGGGTCTCGCCCTGCCTGCCCTGCGTCTTCTCCCGAGCAGGCAGCAAGCCCTGGGGCCGGAGGCCCTGCTCTCAGCTCCCTCCCAGGAGGCCTGCCCCCGGGGGCCTGCCATGCTCTGCCCATCTGGGGGTCAAGTCCAGCCTCTGCCCGGGCTCGTCACTGGTTTTGGCCTGCACCTCTGGCCGTGGGGCCTGGGGACACGGGCAGTCTCAGGAGACCTTAGGGTTCAGCCCTGTGTCCCCTGCCCCATTTGGCCTGTGACCTTGGAAAAGTTGTGGGGACCCTAGACCCCATCCAAATGAAGTGGCCTCACTCCGAGTGACAAAGTGACATCTCCTAACTGTTGAGCATGATGCACAGGGGCCTGTGATAGCTGCACCCCAGTCTGTGGGGAGGGGGTGCAGCCCTGGCTGGGGAGGCTGAGGGCTGCCCCGCCTAAGCGCAGGCAGGGAGGAGGGCCTCACATGGCCACTGAGGGGGTGCTGAGCCTCACGCTGCCGGCCCCCATGCCACGGTGGTCCCTGGGACCCCTGGCCACCCAGGGCCTGTGGGAGGCTGGGGCAGGGACCCTCCCTGGGGCCACTTCTTCGCCCGGCGTTGGCAAGGGCTGGGCAGACTCACGCCACCCTGCTGCAGCTGTGTTCACTCTGCAGCTGAGGAGTTGACTCAGCACTGGCTCGAGCTCCATATTCAGCATGGGGATGGGCAGGGACCCCCCACCCAGGAGCTGTCCCTTCCCCTCTCCTGCCGGCTCTGGGGCAGGGACTTGCATAGCTGCTGTGCTCACCCCCAATGCCCCACGTACCCCCCGGAGCCCCATGGGCCTGTTTTACCTCTGGAGGGCTCCGAGCCCATGGCACTGTGCCCCACTGCATGTGCAGGGAGACTGCCCACGAGTCAGCTCTTGCCCCCCGGCCAGCCACACAGTGACCTGCCTCCTCCTGCTGGGCCCCTCCTCCTCCCCCACTCCCACCTGCAGGGGCTGGGAGCCCTGGCCTGGCCCAGGGTCACAGGCCCTGCAGGAGAAAGCGGCCCGGGGCGGACCTGAAGCCCATCTGTGCCCCCTACCTGTCCTGACCCCGAGCCGAGGCCTGGCCTCATGCCTGCCACAGAGCCCTGTGCTGCCAGGAGCTGCTGTCACCATGCCCAGCTCCAGCCCCGTCCTGATGTCCCCCTCTGGGGACAGATGCCCTACTTCGGAAGACTACAGCATCTGGGCATGGCTCAGGAATTGCTGTCCCCCCAGGGCACAGAGACAAGGGCCCAATTCACAGCCAGCCCCGCACACACAGGGCCCCACACCACCCGTGGGTACCACTCATGGGGTGGGGGCCGCAGTGGCTCAGCAGTGCTCTCTCCACCCGACAGAGGCTGATCACGTCCCCGGGACCACCATGCTAGAGACTGGGGACCACATGCAGTCCCGGCCCTTGCCCACTGGCCCAAGCCCCAGGCTCGCTTGCAGCCTCCCCAGGCTGGGATGCAGGAGCCAGGGTGAGGAGCAGGGGCTGCCAGCTGTGTTTCTGCAGCCCTGGCTCCTGGGCAGGGCCCCTACCCAGCCCCCACCGCCTGGACAGGGCTCACCACCTCTCCAGGCAGCACTGATGCCCAGAGCATCAATGATTGATGTTTCTTTGCAGCAGCCACAGCAGCATAAGCAAAAATAGCTCCCGCCATTGTCCCTGCCTTAGCCCAGCCCAGCCCAGCCAGAGGAGCACAGTGGGGTGGGTGGGGCACCTGGACCCCCTCCGCTGCCATGTGCCCTCCCACCTAGCCCTTCGCATGTAAGGATGGGGGAGCACTCCGGGACTGCTGGCCCCTGGCCTCTGCCTCACCCCCCCCAAGCTGCACGCCCACTCCTCACCTGGGGAAAGGCACCACCCCCACCTACCCACAAGACGAGCGTCTGAGGACCCTAGGGGAGCAGATACCCAGTGCTTCTTGGGGCAGGGACCCCTCCCCTCCACGTACCAGGGATGCTGGGAGGCTCCAGGATGCTGTGGGGCCCCGCCCTCCTGAGACTGGGCTGCAGAAGGCTCGACTCCGCAGCTGCCCCCGCCCCATTCAGCAGGGCTGGGGCTCAGGTGGAGCGCGGCAGCCCTCCCAAGAAGGGCCTGGGAGGGCTCCTCGGCCTTTCTCCTGGCCACACTGCACCCACCCCCTCCATGGCCCTCTGGGGGCTTGTGGCTTGTGTCCCTGTACCCCAGCTTTAATGGGGACCTGCCCTCCTGCCCAATCTCCCCCAGCTGATGAGGGCAGCCTGTGCTGCCCACCCAGATGGAGGCCTGGCCTTCGGCTCGCACCCCATGTTGTGCCCAGTCTGCCTGTCTGGATGCTGACCTGAGGGACAAGGGGCCACCTATCAGCTACCTGGGCTGCAGTCAGCACTGGGCACCCAACGTCAGGGTCACCTCTGCTGCCTCCTCTCAGCACCTCCTCAGCGGGGTCGTGGGTGTGCGAGTGTCTTGCGGTCACTGTGACAAGTAGCCACAGGTGCAGTGGCTCGACCCTACACACTTTCGCGCTCTTACAGTTCCAGGCGGGGGCGGGGGCGGGGGCGGGGGCGGGGGCGGGGGCGGGGGCGGGGGCTCCGTTCCCTCTGGGGTTCCGGGGGAGGTCCGAGTCCTCGCCTTTGCTAGCTCTTCGAGGCCATGGGCATTCCCCAGCTCCCGGCCCACAGCACTCCACCCTCTCTCACACACTGACCCTCTGCCTGTGTGTTTTTAATTAAATTTATTGGGGTGACACTGGTTAATAAAATCATACAGGCTTATGTGTAATCGTTCAGGTGTATAGTTCTGTAACACATCCTCTGTACACTGTGTCGTGTGTTCACCACCCCAAGTCAAGTCTCCTTCCACCACCACTTATCCACCCTTTACCCTTGTCTACCTGTCCCCCACCCCCCCCACCCCCCTCCCTCTTGTAAGGACCCTTACGATTCCACTGGGCTCCAAAGCATAACCAGGGCCCATCTCCCCACCTCAGGAGCCCTAACTCAATCCCGTCTGTGAAGTCCTCTTCGCCCTGCAAGGTTCCATGTTCATAGGTTCTGGGGGTCAGGAGGGGGACTCGCCCGGGATGCCAGGGAATGCTGTGTGTCTGGTGACGTCACCCTGCATACCGAGGGTCACAGTGCTCACTCTCCAGGGGCCCAGACAGGGCGTAGGGGACTTCACAGGAGCTGGCTCCAGCCCCAGCAGCACTTCCCACCCAGGCCTTTGGGCCTGGGCCTCCACTTCCCTGCCTGCAGGTGAGGACAACGCTTCTACCCCTTCCAGCTCCCTGGACCGTGAGGACAGCAAGAACAGTGGACGACGGGTCCTGGCAGTAGGTAGGCAGCAGGACCACCCGGGGCCGATCACCCTGTCCCCGGGTGGCATCAGGCAGGAGATCCGCGTCTGGCCACCCTCTGGCAGGGTCGGGCCGCTGTCTGCCCGGCGCTGGGCGGGCTGCCCGCATCGCTGCACACTGCAGTGCTGGCGGCTGTGCCTGCGCGAAGCAGGGGCGGGGTTCAGAGAATGATCTCATCTGGCCGTTTTTTAAGTTAATATTTTCAGTAGCTTGGCTGAGGAGGACCAGGGAGAGAGTGGGTGATTCACGCAGACAGGACTGGGCCCAGGAAGAGCCCAGGGAAGTCCGGCGGGGGGTGGGGAGAGCAACGTGGGTGCGCAGGTAGACTCGGGGCCAGGGCCGCACGGCCGCGCGGGAGGCTGGAGCCCGCTCCCCAAGGTTGATTTCGGGGGACGGTGTGGGGGGTGATGGGTGAGAAGCCTGGATTGCCTGGGAGGGGGCGGGCTGGAGGGCGAGGCTGGCCCGCTGGTGCCCCTTGCCCGGGGGGTGCTGCAGGAGTGGGGGGCCCTGCAGGCAGCAGGAGGTGCTGGTGACCTGGTGGAATCCGGGCGCTACAGCGGGCCCGAGGCGGGGCGGCGCCTCTTCTCCGCCCTTAGGCAGCCATCACTCACCGCCTTCCCGTTGGGAAGGACTAGGTGGGGGTGTCCCCATCACACAGCTACACCGACAGCTCCGCGGGCCGCGCGGGCCGCGGGTCCAGAGCTCGCACAGCGGAGTAAGAGCCTCGCTCCGCGCAGCGTCTGGGCCGCACTGCGCAGGCGCGGGGAGAGGAGCCGGGTGCTGCTACGCCCTACGCAGCGCCGGGGCGTGACGTCACGTGGTGACGCGAGAAGTGCGGCTGGTGCGCGTCGTTGCCGGGCAACCCGTCGGAGCCCGGCTCCAGGAGTGAGAGCTGCTGGCGGCGCTCGCGAGCGGAGGGGAGATGCGGCTGAGCTGGGTGCCGGTCGGAGCCCGCCCCTCGGGAGCCGCACACCGGGCGCACCGGGGCCTCAGTCGCCGACCCCGACCTCCGGCTGCCTTCAGGCCGGCCCAGCCAAAAACTCACCTGCGCCCCGACCCCGCTCTCGAGGACTCTGGGCGCCGCCCTCTCCGGGCACCGGATCGGACCGCGCCTCGCCGACCCCTGCCAACCCGGCCCGCCGGCCCCCGCAGCACCTAGTTGTCCCTGGGACACGACCCTGTGCTGGGCAGTCGCCGGAGAAGGCCGGGCAGCGGCTCCGGCCCCCTCCCCGGGTGCCAGGCCGTGGACGTTGTGTATGTCCGTTCCGCAGCGACGCTGGGCCCACGCCGGGCCACCCGCAGTCCCGAGGAAGCCACCAGCAGCTCCGGGGCGGTGGGCGCGCAGGCGGCCCCCGAGGCCCAGTCCAGGCCTGGGCCGTCCCAGCAGAGCTGTGCTCCCAGTGTCCTCCCAGGCAACACCAACAGGCAAGGCTAGAGGGAGCGGGGGCGGGAGCCTGGCCAGACGGCCCCTCCAAGAGGGTCTCAGGGTGACCTCACAGGGGAAACAGGCGAGGCCTCCCTCCACCAGGCCTCGGAAGATGGCGGTGCAGGCGACGCCCCTGGGGGGCAGAGTGGCGCTCCTGGGCGGTGGGTGAGAACCCGCTGCCACCTCCCCGGTCGCCTGGGGAGGCCTGGATCTCCGGGTTCGGTAGGGTGTCCCCACCTTCACCACCTGTGGCCTGCACCCACGGGGACACTGCGGTGCTTGGGGCAGTCTGAAGGCTTTCGAGGGTCTTCAGCCAGGTCTGAGCAGTTCTCTGAGCAGTTCCCTGCGCCCTTGGAGCTCCCAGGGCGGCCCACAGCACCTGAGCAGCTGAGAGCGGCTTCTGCCCAGGAGCATCGTGGCTCCCGCCAGCCTCAGCAGGGTGGCCCTGGGAGTCTGGACCCCCGGCACCTCCCCTTCCGAGGTCTTTCTAAAGTGCGCAGGAAGCATTTTGTGCGCGGGAAGGCCGCAGACCCAGGCTGTGGAGGGCTGGCCAGGGATGGGGCCTGCCTCTCTCTGGCCTCTGTCCCCCCATCCTCTGTGGCCAGGGAAGAAGTTCGCCCTCCTCCTGGCTCTGGCCATACGTGCCAGGCTGTGCTCCCCTGGCCTCAGCTCAGGGCAAAGCCTCAGCCGGGGCCCCACTTCAGTCTGTGTGTGGGGATGGCTGGCTGGAGCTGGCCCCCAGGGCCCAGGCCTGGCCCCTGCCCCTGGCTCTGCCGCCCCCACGAGCCCGCCCCCCGCCACCGTATCTGCCTGTTCCGGGACTGCCTCAGCCCCTTCCCTGCCATCTCTTCCCAAACGGGCACCCCCAGTGCCGCAAGAACAAAGAGGAAAAGGAGCAAGGGAGCAGAGAGAGGGTTTGGCTGGCTGTAGGGACAGACGGTGTGGGCTCTAAACCAGCCGGTGTTTCCCAGGGCCTCTGCCGGCGCCCATTCTCCACATGGCCGTCAGCTCTGCGCTCCCGAGGCAGGTTTCAGAAACAGGACTCGCCTTCCAGCTCCACCAATGCATCCAGCAATTTGAGCGTAACGCAAACTCTGCAAGAATGACCAGGGAGGAGGGCAGGGGGGGCGCCGCGCTGCCCCGCATGGAGGTGAGTGGGAACACGCCGGCCTCTCAGTTTCCCTCCCCCACTGCCGCCGACCCCGACTCCCATCGTGGCTGGTCCTTGTGTGGGTGGATGTCACAGCCAGTTCCCACCTGGGAGACGGCGTAACTCCACCTGTCGGGTTTTCAGGACGAGTGTGCCCTGTGGCGGCGGTGTCTTTACTCCCATGTCTGCCTAAATTAAGTGTTCGGAGTACGGTGACATTCCACGTGTACTTCTCCCGGGCTAGGTTTGTTTGTCTGTTCTCTTTCCGCCCACTCTCAGCTTGGGAATACGGTCAGGCTTGCTTTTCGAGAAGCACCAGTCCAGCAGGCGGCCGAAGACGTCCCTGCCTCAGCCCAGTCCCTAGAGGTGAGCGGTGGGGCCGAGCCGGGCCTGGGGTCTGCGTGCACCCGGCGGTGGGGAGCTGGGGCTGGGCCGGGTGTTGCTCGGCGACTCCCCGTTTACACTCTGGGCTGACAGAACAGACACATGAGGCTCTTTGTTTCTACCTTTAGAGAGAGCATTGTGTCTCTTGAGTCCCCCGCAGAGACCAGGTGGGGCGGGGCGATGCGTTGGCCGAGGCCCCCCCTCTGGAGCCACATCCAGTCCACTCAGCGTCCCTTCAAGCTCCCCTGGAGTGAAGTGGGCGGGGGCGCCAGCTCCTCGGGTCTCAGTGCTGGGAGTGCGGGGGAGACGGGTGGGCCTGGGCCGTGGTCCTGGCACAGGGAAAACAGCCCCGTGCCCTGGAGGGACGTTCTCAGCCCACAGAGCCGCCCGCCTGTGTCTCCTGGGGCAGGCACACGGGGCTGTCCTCTGAGGCAGCCTTGCACTGAGCACGGGGAGCGGACTGCGTGGCCCGTGGGAGGGCAGGTCTGGGTCTCTCCACGCTTTGCTGAGCAGGCTGAGGCTTGGTCAGGGAGCTCTGCAGACAAGCTCTTCTGGGCCAGCACCCAGCCTAGGGCACCCCTGGGGACTGAGGCCTGGAGCCCAGGGGATGGGAGCATTGCCGTGGTGGCCCATGAGCCCTCTGGATGAGCTGCACCCCCTGTGTGGCCCAAGCCAGCGGGCAGGCAGAGGGGCCTCTGGCGGCAGGGTGACTAGGCAGGGCTGGGCCGTGCGGGGAGGCAGAAGGTCCACGTTACTTCAGGTGCTAAAGCCGGGAGACAGGGACACAGTCCAGGCGCTTGGTGCTCTGTCCCCGTGCCTCCCCGTCCCTCTCAGGGTGGCCTGGTGACAGTGGGTGGCACGTGGCCATCCCTCCTCTGTCCCCTCCGCCGAGTGCGCGTCCCAAAACCACGTCAGGCTGGGTCCAGGGACGTGGGGCTTCTGCCCCTCGGAGGGGTCGTCCGGCTATGAAAAGGAGTCCTTTGGGGCCGGGGTCGTGCTCGAGGAGGGAGCAGGGCTGGGGAGGAGGCAGACGTGCTTGGGTCCTGGGGGGCAGCGGCTGTCGTCGGGCAAGTGGTCATGCAGTGGCAGAGCCAGGCCCCTGGGGCTGCTGGCAGGACCCCGAAGGGTCAGGTGCCCTTTTCTGCTCGTGCTCTGAAGGCTCTCGAGGTTGCCTTTTAACGCGTGCCTCCTTTGCAGTCCCGAACCTAGAGCGCTCTGGAGAGCCCCTCAGAGCGCAGACAGCATGCCCACTCCCCGATGCCTCTGGAGCGGGCCCCGCTGCCAGGAGAAACCCCCCAGTTCTTGGAGTGTATGCTGCCCGAGGGTGGAGTGATCTCGGTGCAGACGGGCTCCAGGGGGTATGGGTGGGATCCACAGAGGTGGGGCCAGCCACCTTCGGCCGCGGCCCACCTCAGGGAGCCACCGTCTGGGAGACGGCGGGCTGGTCTGCCGGGGGCACACCTACCCCGGGGCCACCGAGACACAGCCTTTCCCCTGCGGCGAGGCCGCTGCTCTCAGAGGGGTGGGTGATGAGGCCGGGTGGCTGTGGGCGCCTACCCTGTGCAGCCCTGGGCGCTAGTGAAGGACGGAGGTGTCCGGCTCAAGCAATGCCCGATTGGCAAGGAGCGGAGCTGTGGGGAGACCTGGCTGACAGTGTCTGGCTCACACAGACTGTGCTGAGTCCAGCAATCGAGGAGCAAAGGCCTTTTTCCCATTCAAGCGTTAAAAATACCCCTGTGCACCGAAACCCCAGAAGGGGCAAAGCAGCGCGTGAGGACAGGGTAGCTGTGTGGGCCGAGGGGCCACACTGGGCCGGAAGGAGCTGGAGAGGCCCCGTGAGGGGTGCCTGGCTGTGCCTTGGCACCAGGAACACAGGACGGGAGGGAGGGAGGGGGCACAGCTCTGACCTGGGGGTGGTCAAAGGGTTCAGGGCCCCGCAGCGCTGCAGGGACCGGGCCACGCGAGCTCATGAGCCTATGGCTGCCGAGCACTTTCAGAGCCAGGAGCAGGCTGCCCTCCTCCTGCCGGTGCAGGAGGGCTGGGGAAGACGGCAGGCCCAGGGGCGTGTTCTGGAAGATTCCAAGCTCAGAGAGTCTGAAGAGGTCCAGGGGCAAGGTTTCCATCTGCCCCCGTGCAGAGCCCTGAGCCAGACCCAGGTGAGCCGCTGGGAGGGCGGCGGGGCCTGCTGGCGGCCCGGGTCTCCACGTTTGGGTTGCCTACTTTTCCCCCGTTGAAACGCAGTCCCACTGTCGAGGGCCAAGGGCCGAGGGCCTCTGGGGACAGATGTGTCCTGCCTTCCCCCACACGCAGGTTCAACCTGGGGTACCAGCGCTTGACGCGTCTCCACGGCACCGCCCTCGTCCCTCCTGGGGGACCCCCATTCAGCCCAGCGTCAGAATCTGAATGCTGCCCCACCCAGAGCTGCCCCTGCAATCGGCCCTTTCAGTGAACTGTACCGTCACCCACCAGCCCCCTCGCTCCCCGTCCAGGCAGAGCCCAGTCTGAGGCCTAGCCGGTCAGCTCCAGGAGGGGGCTTCTGACCCGGGAGGGGCCTGCACACTGAGTGTCCACTGGTTGCCTGACTCAGACGCGCAGGTCGCAGAAGCGGTCTTTCTCCCCAACCACGTCAGGCCCCGTCGGCCACAAAATCGTGGCTTAAAATAGTCCAGAGCCGGAGAACAAAGAAACCTAAGGAACTGAGTTACGCAAGGGAAGAGGCCCTGGACCACTCACCCCACGGGGCAGTAGGAGAGCCCGGGGTGGCTGTGTGTGAAGACATGTGCAGACCAGAGTCTTGAGGGCCGTCCTCCAGCTCTGCGTAGAAGGCCGGGGGCAGCAGGGGCAGCTGGAGGGAGCGCCCCAGGTGTACGGACCCCCAGGGAGAAGGCCACGGGAGCACGCTGCTCTGGACCCTGTGGCCGGGGCGCGTGCCCGCCTGGCCCCAGCCTGGAGCAGCAAATGCGTGTCCCTGCTGGGCCTCCACCTCCCTGTGAGGGGAGGGGACACGGCTGCAGGGGATACATTTGGGTTTTTTTTCCCCAGAAGAATTCAAAACTACAAACAAAATCACTCAAGGAGAAGGGTGGGTTAGAAGAGAAAGAATTACCAAGTCGACACCAGTGAATTTCAGACTCCAGTGGAAAATGCTCGAGCTGCTTCCTGAGGTGTCTCCCCACTGGTTCCCGTTGGTCTGGAAGGCGCATGTCCACCAACCCCCCCAACCCCCCCCCCCGCCACAGTCACTTGTCTCTCCCGCCACCCAGATCATGCAGCGAGTGCATCACAGACTTTCAGAGTGGGCAGCCGCCCCCCAGGCTGTGAGCCCCCGGAATTTCCTTTCCTGGCTGTGGGCTTCACCCACCCAAGCCCCACGTCCCCTCCCTCCCCACTGCCAGCCTGGGGGGCAGGCAGACCCCAAGTCCTTCCCAGCCGAGAACCGGCAGCCGCTTAGTCGTGCTGGGAAGCGAGCAGAAGGGTGATGTGCTGGGCCCAGGGCTCCAGGGCCCGCGCTGTGCATGGCTCAGCCCCCACACTCGACCACGGAGCAGGGCGGGGCAAACAGGGGCCCTGCCCAGGAGCCCACGGCCCTGTACCCGCAGGAGCCCCCAGGGCCCGAGTCTTGTCCTACCCAGTTCCGTCCCATCTCGGCAGCTGGCCACCGGCCCCTCCCCCCCTCCCTGGAGAACCGTCCCCACTGGCAGGGCCCCGAACTGAGCTGGGCAGCTGAGAACAGACCAGAGGAGCGAAGGGAGGGAGCGGTTCCCGCCAGGGCAGGATGGCACGCTGGAGCTCAGTGGTGCCAGCCGAGTGGGGACCCCAGGGCCCCGGCGAGAACCCCCAGGCCTGCCGGGCCCCCCGCCCGCTCTCTGCATGTTTTATACTCTGAAGGCTGGCCAGTCGACGCCACAGCTACGCCAAAACTGAACGAGTGTTTGAAACACGAAATGTATCAAGGACACAAAATACTGATTTAAGTTTATTGCTTCTAAGACCCATACCCTTTAACCTATTTCCCACTAGAAAGGACAATTTCAAAATCTGAAGGGAGGAATCCTGGGAGCTGAGGGCCACACCCTACCCTGCACGTCCCCTGCAGTCCCCTTACGAGCCCCGCCAGGCCCCACCACCCAGCCTTCAACCGGTTCCTCCCGGCGGCCAACTCCAGGGGTGCGCCCCTCTTCCGTGGGCCCCCACTCGGTCCCACTGGCCGCTTCCCCAGCTGCACAAGGGCCTGAGTGGAAGCAGGAAAAGGCCCCTCAAGGACGGCGTGGTAGACAAGTCACACTCCTCCCGGCGTGCCGAACGGTTTTTAATGACGCGACGAGCACACGTGCAAGGGAAAGGGCCTTCTCTGGTGACAGGGCGGGCGGGAGGGAGGGAGGGAGGACACGAGAGACGGGACCCGTGGGAGAGCAGCCTCCCGCATGAGCTGGAGACGAAGATGACGAGGTGTTGTGTCCGGTGTCCACGCAGAGTCACCAGGGCCAGGTGCCCCCCAACCCCACTGCCAGCCCCCCTCACGGTCGAGGGGCCACCAGCCCACGTGCACCCACCTGTTTCATCCCAGCACCAGTTCCCGCGAGCAAGTGTGGGCTGGTCCTCGGGGCACCGGGCAGGTAACTGACCTCCGCCCAGTGACACTCACACATAAATAGCCATAAATTAATCCCTAACCAGCTACGCTTCACACCCTCAGGGACGAAGGCCAGGGAGGCGCCCACTCCGGACTCGCGCCGCCCCCTGGGCTCACAGGGAGAGGGCGGCCGCGCACGTGGCGCTGGGGGTGTGGCCGTCGGGAGAAGCAAACCTTACGCAATCAGACACGCCAACTGCCAGTGTTCAGGTGATAGATGCTTCTAATTAGCAGCAGAGGATGTTTATAGAAAAAATATATTTTTAAGAAAATAGCTGAAAAAGTCTAAAGAGATAAAAGTATAAAAAGTTTAAAAAATATATCTTAAGCCAAAATATTGCCCAACACATATAAAACTTAATTTTAAAAAAATTCACCTAGCTAACGTTGAAGGAGGCTCAGGCAGCCGGGGGCCGGTCCCCCGCGGAGCTGTGGGGCTCCGAGCGGAGGGGGCCCGGCCGGCCCCAGGGTGACCAGCTTGCAGGAAATGGCTCTGTTCCCGCGTGTTCTTATGATCACCAGGCAGCAGGGCTGGCCCAGCGGCCCGAGGCGCTCGGGGGACGGCCGGGGCCCCACGCCTGCGCAGCAGGCTCAGGTCTCCACCAGGATCTCCACCACGTGGTCCAGCTCGCCCAGGTCCCGCTTGCAGCTGGCGCTGGGGGGCGGGGCGCCCGCGGGGGCCAAGGCCTGGAGCCCGTCGCTGCCGCCGGGGCCCGACTTGCCGCCCACCATGCCTGTCAGCACAGCGTCCAGGTCGTAGTAGGGGCCATCTGCATCCGCAAACAGCCCTTCCACTGGGCTGGGGGCTCTGCTCTCCAGGGTCTCGAATATCTGATCCAGCGACTTGGGAAAGCCCCCTCGGTGTCCGCGGGAGCTATCCGCCTCCCAGATGCAGCTCTGCGCGCTCCCGGGAGCCGGCGCACCCAGGACCCCGGGCAGCTCCGAAGGCAGGTCGGGCGAAGGGCGCTGCCCCTGCTGCTCCCAAGCTGCACGGCACAGGATTTCCGTGGAGACGAGGTGGTCTAGCGGCCCCCGCCCCGCCACCGGGGGCGCCGGGAGCCGCCAGGCGCCGTCCTGGGTCATCTCCTCCTGAATCTGCCGGACCGTGTTGGCGATGAGGACCGAGCGGCAGAGGTTGGGCTCCACCAGCGTGTGGCACAGTTGCAGCTTGACCAGGGACATGTCCAGGAGCGACTGCCGCTGCAGGCTGTAGGACGGTGCGGCCAGGGCGCCCTCCACGTCCTCCTCGCTGTCCCAGCACTTCCTCTTCAACCCTCGGGCGAACATCGTGCCCTGCGGAGACGGAGGAAGACAGACACCCTTTAGCGCCGTCCGAGCCCCTCGTAGACCCGGCCTCGGAGAAGCGGGTGCGCGTCCTTCGTTCACACACAGCCCCTCGGACTGAAAGTGGGCGCGAACCACACCCGCCTCTAACTGAGCACGAAGTTTCCACCCGCAAAGACAAGTGGACCGAAAACGGGAGGAAGAGGTTCTGAGGAACCGGGCGGAGAACCTTCATCACAGCCCCAGGGCTGGTGCCGGAGGGGGAGGGTTTGGGAGGCAAAACGACCACCAGCCCAGTGGGGCCAGGGACCACCCGACCGCGTCATGCTGCAAGGACCCCTGACAGACAGGTTGCGGGTCCTGGATGCTCAGGGCTGCTCGCCGCTGATCGGCCCGGAGAAGCGGAGGCAGGAGGACCTGCACCCCGAGAGCTGCTCAGCCGAGGGGCGGGGCCTCCGGGCCAAGGCCGCCCTTTCTGGGAAAGCCAGGCCTCCCTCCGGCTGCACCGTTTCTCCCTTCTCGGGTGTGTAAAATAGCGAAACATTTTGTTTCAAATAAATCATTTCAAGGTATTCATAAAGAGGGTTATAATCTTTAATACGCAAACTCTTGCATTTTTGTATTTCCTTTGTAAAAACACTGATCCTGTGGCCCCCATGGATGGGGCTGGAGGGGGAGGGGTGCGCGGCCCGCAGTGGAGGGGGGACTGGCCGGGGCCCCACCTTTCCCAGGAGCCTTGCGCCCGCCCGCCCGGTTCTCAGACAGAAAAAGGCTCACCTCCCATGCGTGTGACATTGTCAAAAACTAAGTGGCCTTGGGCGTTGCTCCACCGGAGTGAAAACCAGCATGCATGCGAAACCCTGTACGGGCTGTGCTCAGGGCCCACCCCACCCCCACCCTGCGGGGCCAGTGCACCGGGCGCCTGCACGGCCCTCAGGGGAACCGCGGTGCTCGCCGACCCCATCGCTGGGACCTTCTGGGCGAAGCGGGCTGGGCGTGGACAGGACTGCACGGCAGCGGCCAGGCTAAGGGCACAGAACCACCCGCGTGCACACCACACACGTGCCATGTGATTCCGCGCTGTGGCCGACGCGGGAAGGGTGACCTTCCGGACATTTCTTTCCCACTTCCTGTGGACCAATAATTATTTGGAAATAAAAAATTTTAAAACCCGACTGCAGCTTCTTCCCCTACAAGACGAATTTCCCCAGAACGGCAGGCGGGTCTAACAACACGCCGACACCGCCTGCCACCTCTGCCCCCGCGCCCCCGCACACCAGCGCAGGCTGGCCCTTCCGGAAGTGAGCGCCGGCACCAAAACACACGAAAATGTTCCAACCGCTTCTGGTGACAGAGGCTCAAGTTTTCTGTCTTCGCAAATTCAGCTTTCACAGCATTTGTCCCAAAGTCGCCAGCTCAGCACTGCTAAGTACAGGGTGGGCAAAGCAGGCTTCCAGTGGTGGGTGCAAGAAGCAGTCTGCGCTTGCTGCTGTCGACTGGCTGCGTGACCTTCCACACCAACGACCGCAGACCTGCGTCTGCCCCGCCTGCATTCTGACAGCGTGAGATGGTGCTGAGCTCTAAAAAGCCATCCTGGGTGCAGGAGAAAGACGAACTTCCACGGGTTCTTCTGCGGCGAGTCTCCTTTCTCGCTGTGAGTGGTGTTTCCAACAAACCCTAGCACTCCAACTCTGCCCGACAACCGATTTCATCCAGGGTCCCGACCAAACTCACTGCAACACCCTTAGTCCTTTGCTCCCCAGCAGATCTGAGGGTCTCCGAAGACCAGGGGGCCATGAGGGGCTGCGGGGCAGCCAGGGGGCAGCATGCCAGGGCAGACCTGCAGGGAGTCAGACCTCTGTCCCGGGCCCGGAAGCCAACCACTCCCTCTACAGCCACCACATGCCCCCACACCCGCCAGGGAGAGCCAGACGACCCCAGCACTCACACGGGCCACTGCTTCCCCAGGCCCCCAGTGTCCCGAGCCCCCTTCCCACCAGGAAGTGCTCCCCTCCCTGACTGGTCTGGCCCCAGCAGGTGTGGGGACTGCTGGGCAGTCCCCAGTAAGCCTCCTTCCCTTCCTTGGCCCCTCCCGTCGCTGTACTGGCTGTGACCCCGGGAAGGGGGTCAGAAAGTGCAGTCAGCACAAGGCGAGTCTCCCTGGCTCCCGCCTGCACCGTCTCTGAGCACCTTCTGGCCTGTGGCACTGGCCTCGCCGCAGGTTCTGCTCTCTTTGTTGACCACTGTCCTGGCCAGGGGCAGGTTACGGTTCTGACAGCTGCCCAACATACAAACACGGTCCCAGGACCCTCATGCGAGGTGCTCCACCGCTCACCACCTCCCCTGCGGCAGGGACAGGGGCTCTGACTTGGGCCCCTCTGGAGTCCCGGCCCCGGCCCCTGGAGCATCTCCCCGGACGGGGGGAGGCGAGACAGGCACGCGGTGAACAGGTCTGGCCGCTGCAGGGGAAGGTGGACCACTCACCTCCGTCAGGTTCTTCTGCACCGAACGCCCTTTAGATTATCCCAGAACCACAGGAGCCCCCCTATGCTCCCACAGCCCCGTCCCAGAGCTCCACGGGCCTCTCCCATCTGCCTGTTTCCCACCAGAGGGCGTGGGTAAATGGTGCTCTATTTGACCCTGCAGCCAAATCCGCCATCACTAGACGGACCACATGACGAACCTGCAAACGTGCTCAGTAAAAAAGCAGGAACAAATGTAGGTGCCACAGGACGCCACACGACCTGTGGGAAAGGGCAGCTGACCCAAGGGTGTGACAGCCCAGTGACTCCGAGAGCTGGCCCGGCGACCCGGCTCCGCCCCAGGAGCTGCCTGCAGGCATCTGTGCAGTTCAGGGCCCCACGTGGCGCTGAGGAACAGGGACTTGGGTGGAACCTGCCCTTTCCCAACACCCGAAGACCCGGCCCCACCGCGCACCCGGGCTCCAGGCCGGACCCGGGGCGAGGGCGTGCTCGGTCGCTCCCCCGCGTGCCTCCCGAACACCGCGCGCCCCCAGCAGCTGCTTGGTTGTCAAGTCAGCAAGAAAGTGCCACCGACCGACGACTCAGCGTGTCCAACCCCATGAGCGCGAGTGCGTGCGGTCGCCAGAGCCCGCCTGCCGGTAACAGGGTCAGGCTGAGCCCAGAAGGGGGCCTGTGAGGACCGCCCCCCACACACCCGTGTCTGGGGAGTCGGCAAGTGCCGGCGCAGAGCCCTCGCGGGGCTCCGCACCCGTCCGGCAGAGCCCCGGCCGGCGGAAAGTTACCGACACAACGTGACGCGTCGCCCACCTCCATTTCCTCCGAAGGCGCTGGCCGAGTCCTGCGGCGCATCTAGAAAATGGCAGATTCCTACTTGGAACCTCCCAGGTCAACAGCACTGCCCTCAGGCAACCTCCAGACCACGCGCTGACCAGTCAGAGGAAAAAGAGGGACTGAGTTCAGGGGGGGCGGAGCCACCGGGGCCCACGCTCACCCAGAGCGCCGCCCGGGCAGAGCGCACTCAGGCCCACGGCACAACCCCGCAGGGGTGGGGCTGGAGGAGACGCAGACCCCCGATTCTGAGCGGACCCCCGATTCTGAGCGCCAGGACCAGGACGGGGCGGGCTCGGACCCGGCTGCTTCCCACAACCTTCGGCCCCGCCAGGCACCCTGCGAGCCTTGGGTTTTTACGGCAACTCAACATTCCCCGTGTGTCACGTGGCCAGGTCTGCGGCGAAGAAATACGTCATCAGCCTTCAGAGTGCGCGGGCAACCGAGACTGGGGCGTCCAAGTCGGGGGCGGGGGGCGGGCCCCCGGCCGCTCGGGTCTGACATTTCCCACAAGCCGCTGCTACAGAGCTAACGTCAGGCACTTCTGTGACCTGGAATGAAATGCGCAGACTTTCTTTGCCTGGGGACCCGTCCCAACAGCGAGGCGAAGGAACCTCCGCGCCCTCTTCCCGAGCTAAAACCTGCAGAGGCCGTCACCGACATTTCATTTTGAATTTCAACTTTAATGTGCAAGCGCGGCAAAGCTTGAACACAACGCAGCTGTACGTACGCAGCTGTACGTAAGTGCCCCTAGCATTTTTCTCGGCTCCTTTTACAAGAACAGTGGCCGGGGTCCTGTGCCGAGGGAGCAGCACACCGGCCACCGGCCGAGGAAACGCGGCTGGAAGCCTGCTACTCAGACCACAGCTCTCCCAGCCAGCTGTTACCTGGGGCACCCCTTTCCTGGGCATCCCAGTTTGGGGACAATGAGCTTTTGCAAAGGTGGAGCTGAGCTGTCCTCCAAGTTGCGGAAGCGACTTCCTGGTACTTTTCCGAGTCGAAGCTCGACGCCCCCGCTGGCTGACTGCGTCGGCAGGCGAGGAAGCACCAGGAACCCACTTGCTCTCTCACCAGCTGGGGTCCAGGACTGTCCCGTCCGCCCCACCCCCCTTGGCCAGTCTCCGCTGGACTGGGCAGCGTAAGGGAAGCGGCACAGGAAGCGGGCAGAGTGCCAGCTTTAGACCACCGAGGCCAGCATCACTTGCTCGGGCCCTCCCTGACCAGCCCAGAGGGAAATCAGACATAGTGCAGTTGGGCGCAGGGAAACCGCTGCCAAATATCCTTGGTATTCCGCTACAAAGTAGTTACAACCAAGAAACAAAGGGGAAGAGCGCAAACTGAACACTGCAGGGGCCGCTCTGTTCTCCCCAGCCCCAGAGAAAGGCGACTCTGGCTGGGCGGCTAAGGGGGGCATCACATCGCCAGCAAAACCGCGTTTTGCTAGAAGGACCTAAGATGAAACTCAAGCGTTCCATCGCTGACATCCACCACCCGCCCGGCACTTCGCAAGGACTGCAGATTACGAAGGAAACCTAGAATCACAGCCAAGGGCAGACCACCACAGGTGTGTGGAAGGGCAGGTGTGTGGGTAAGAGGAAGGGTGGGTGACTGGATGGGTGGGAGGGGGGATGGGTGAGTGGATGAGTGACAGACGACGGGGGCAGCCACGGGGCCTCTGGTCAGAGCCGTCCGTCCAAGTCAGCTGGACAGGAGCCTGTCCCGGAGTCCCCGCAGGGCTTGCAGGAGCGTCTCCCGGGGACCAGGAGGAGGAGCCGGAACTGACCTTTCCCAAGGCGCAGGGAGAAGGGAGGATGGGGGCTCGGCTGCGGAGGCCGGCACGGCACGAGCCGCCCACCCCCACCCCCCATTTTAAGTGCTCCTCGGACCAACAAGAGCCCCGGGCTGGGTCCAGGCCACGAAGGAGCTGTGGCTCGGGATCAAGAGGGTGCGGGACAGCGAAAATCGAGGCTGTGGCAACACCGGCGGGAATCCAGGAGGCATACGACCGGACGGGCAGGCGGGGGCCGCAGGGTCGCGCCCCTCCGCCGAGGGCCCGCCTGCCGCGACCCAGTCCCCCGACCCCCAGGACCCTCGGGTCGCCCCCGTGTCGACTCCCCGCCGTCCCAGACCCCGGGCCGCCCCGCCGCCCCGCGGCCCCCGGAGTCCCCAAGGCGACGAGGGCCGCCGAGGCGGAGGAACCGAGAGCCAGAACCCAACGCTCACCTGGCCGCCCGCCGTCCACGCCACTGCCCGCAGCCGAGGGAGGGGCGGGGCCGGGGCGGGGCCGCTCAGCTCCCACAAAGGGTCGCCGGGCGCACACCGCCCCGCCCGCGGATTGGCTGAGCTTGGAGGCGGGGCCTCCGGTTCAAACCAGGGGCGGGGCCTGCCTCTCTAGTTCCCGCGCGGCCGCGTTGGCCGTTGGGCCCGCGCGCTCCACTGCCCCGCCCCACACAGCTCCCAGGTCTCCGCGCGCTGCCCGAGTGCGCCTGCGCGGGTCACCTGGAGGCGGGGCGGGGACTTGGGTGGGAGAGGACCGGGCCGCGGCAGGAGGAAGCTAGGGGCGGGGGCGGGGCAGGACAGCAGCCTCCTGGACAGCCCGGGTCACCAAGGCGGGTGCTCGGAGTTTACGTGGAACCAGTGAAGCCGTAGAAGTGGAAAGTGGGGAAGGTGCTTTTTTTCTTTAAATTTCTTAGTGGAAAAGGCATTAAATAGGTTAGAAAATCCTGAATGCATTAATCCAAGTAACATTTCTGAGTGCCGGTGAGGATTGTCCTGTGTCCTGTGCGGGGGGCTGAGGACACAGGCATCGAGGAGACACCCCGGGGACGGAAGGAAGAGAATTGGGGGCCGAGGGGCGTCGGCTGGGGAAGGTGAAGCAGGTCAGTGCCTGGCGCAGTCTAAGCGGGGTGGCCGCCTGGGCTCCCCTTCCCAAGAGGCCGACCCCCGCGGGGCTGCTCGGCAGAGGCGCCGTCCTGAGATGGCTTCAAAAGGCTCACCGTTGAGGACAGAGTGGGGGCAGGGCTGGGTGGAAGGTCCAATTAGGTCGCAGTCCTGGGGTGAAAGACAACGACTGTGACAAATGTGAGGACATACAGGTGTAAAAGGTGCGTGTGTTCCCAAGCACGTGCCACACAAAAGATTAAATTCCTTAATACACAATATTCGGTAAATAAAGACAAGACCAAAAAGCCAGGAGAGACTGGGCGAAGGATGTTAACACAGCTCGGAATAGAGGAGAAAATGCCCTCCAGCTGGTGGGAAGCAGGTCGGAACCACGTGGGCGGTGGGCAGCGGCGCAAGCTGTCAGACCGGCAACACCAAAGAGGCAGTTTCTTCCAGAGCCAGCATGGTTTCTCACCCACGGCGTCCAGCATAAAATCAAAAATTTAGCAGGCATACCAGGACACAAGAACAAAAATGTCCCCAAAAAAATAATAGGGAAAAAAGACCCAGATAACAGAAATAGACTCAAGGGTGGCCCCGATTTTTTAGAAATAGTTAACTGTTGTGGTCAAGAAACTTAATGACAAGGAGACCTGGAATCTGTTAAAAAGATTAGAACAGGAGCAACAGCGCTCACTGTACCCAGAGCCCACGGGGGGTGCAGGAAGAACGCTCCCCAGCTAGTTCTCAAAGGCCCACGGAGCCTCGGCGTGAACCCCTCGGAAGGAGACAGGAAGGAAAGGCTACAGGCTCGCCCCTCGCCCAGCCAGACTTTAAAGTTCCATACAAAACCTTAGCACATCAAACCCAGTGACACATAAGAAAGAGAACACCTCACACCAATTGGGTTCATCCCAGGAACGGGCGGGCGGTTTCCCATTTCAACCAACCAACGGAATTCATCGAAGTAATAAAACCAGGGAGCGAACACTGGAAAAGCTCAGTGGGTGGCAGAGACTCACCCGGTAAAATTCAACACACGTTTGTGACACAAGTTAGGGAGCCGAACACACAGGTTCGACGTAAGGACCAGTCGACAAAGGCTCGCTCGCTGCAGACGCCCATTGCGAGCAGCGGAGTCACCAGAGCCCGTCAGCGTCAGGATTCATGGGAAGTTCACGAGCTTGCTGAAAAGAGACACACACACACCGCCACGGTTCATTCCCGTGACAGCAACGAGATGAAAGTCAGCCAGGGGAGCGGCACATGGGGCAGGTCCAGCCAGGCCCCAAGGACGGGCTTCCACCCTGGATGGCCCGGGCTCCCCCCAAAGCACATCTTGGACTGTGTGGTGTGGGCCCCGCGCCCTGGCGAACAGACACTGCCGGCAGGCAGGGAGCCCCAGGCATTTCAATATCCCCTCTGGGGACCCCAAGGGCTCGCACCAGACCTGTCCTTGGGCGGGAAATCACTTCTTCACTGCGCAGCAAGGGGACTCCCTTCGGTTCAGCAAAGTGCGTTTACAAAAAGCTGTGGGAAATGCTAGAATGTGTGGATGAAAAGGGGCCGCACACCAAATATGACAAGCCCAGGGAGGCCAGCATGGGCCGGCCCGACAAACTCAGAGACCGAACCAGCCACATAGGACGGCCTGAACAGAAAAACTCCCAACTGCAAGCAGGTCATGGCAGGTAGTCACGTCCTGGGCCAGTAGCTTCCTTGACAAAGGTCAGTTTTTACCTTAACTGAGCCTATCAGTCCTCTTTCAGATCTAGGATAACATACCTTTGAAATGTCAGCCGGATCTCCTTTTCCAACCCCCCAGGGCTCACCTGCCTGCTCCAGAGCCCAGAGCCTTCCCTGGTATCCTGCCCCGCCCCTCCCCACACCGTCTCCCTGGGCTGTGGTAACTACCTGTCCCCACCAATATGAAAGAAGTATATGCCTCTTCATTTTGCTTTTTATCTAATCCCAGAGATCCCCCCACTTTGCTTTCTCCTGTCCCCTTATCTATCACCCAGGGATTCCTGTGACTCCCCCACTTATGTCTCCTCCTCTGATTCTAATGTATACAATAAGGCGCAAAGCTGCAATTCTCAGGAGCGCTTTCTCAATCCGTTGAGATTTTGCTTCTCAACAACTGTCGTTACTTTGGCTCAAATAAACTCATAAAAACTCCGCCAGTCAGACGTCTCTCACACGGGCAAGTGCACGGGAAACGGCAGGAATGCGAGGGCTCTGTCCTGTGACAAGAACGAGAGCAAGGTGTGTCTGCGGCCCCGCTGCCTCCGGGCCATGTGCTGGGCAGACTGGCCTGGGCCGGCAGGCAAGAAAAAGAAGCAACAGGCATAGGACCTGAGAAGAATTAAAATCATTCTTTCCAGACAGAGGTTTGGAATGTAGAAATGCAAGGAATCCTGTCCCAACCAGCTCAGGCAGCTCAACGGAACTCCACAGAGGGCCCCTTAGACCACTGGCATTCCTTTCCTGCAGTTCTGTCCACGATCGAGCTGCCCATGCGGCTGGGCTGCAGGTGAGCTCTGTCCTCCAGGCTTGCAGGCGGCAGAGGGGAGACAGATGGCTCCTCCTCTTCTTTCAAGGGCCCCGTCCTGTTAGATCAGTGCCCACCCTCGTGGCCTCATTCAACCTTAACCACCTCCTGAAAGCCCGGCCTCAAAGACCCTCACCCTGGGGGCTAGGGCTTCAGCGTATGAATTTGAAGGGCACGCAGTTTAGTGCATAGCAAACCTTCAGATAAGTGGATCAGATTAATAAAGAATTCAGCCCTGGCTGGCCTAGCTCAGTGGATTGAGTGCGGGCTGCGAACCAGGCATCGCAGGTTCGATTCCCAGTCAGGGCACCTGCCTGGGTTGCAGGCCACGACTCCCAACAACTGCACATCAATGTTTTTTTTCTCTCTCTCTCTCCCTCTCCCCTATCTCCCCTCTCTAAAAATAAATAAAATCTTTAAAAAAAAAAAAAAAAGAATTCAGTGTGACCATCAGATAAACAGCTAATACAGAAAAGTCAATTATATTTCTATATGCAAGTCACAAACCTTTTGTCTATTTAAAAAAAGTTTTCAGTGATACCATCTGCAGAGCATCAAGACATCGGCCAGCACCCAGGGGGGCATCGATCTAACAGCAAACAGGCCAGACCTGAACGAGGAAAAGCACAGGTCAGTGGGGAGAGAAACTGATGCCGGCTCCGTGCGCAAGAGGATATTCCAAGTGCTCCCAACAGAAGACGCCCCATCGCGAAGGCGTCCGCTCTCTCCAGACGTCTGCCTTCACAGCCACTGGGGCCGCCATCAGCCCCGAAACCTGTCTTCGTGGGAACTGACAAGTTGATTCTGAAATGTACATGGAAACGCAAAGAGCAAAGAAGAGCCCAGACCGCCTTGGAGAAGGTCACCAAAGCCCGACTTTGGGACCAGCTTTGGAGGCCCACATGGCAGGCGCCCACAACCTGTGACTCACCACCACTCCTGCTCCCAGGGAAGTGCCCGCGCAAGGGCCTGCACACCTTCCCAGGAGACTGGCACCGGGGGTTTACAGCAGGGCCACCCATGAGAGCCCCAGCCTGCAAACACCCCAGAGCCCCCATGGGGCAATGGGCAGGCCCGCAGGGGCTTTGGGCTTCAGTCTGCGGGGAGGGATCTGAGGTGCCTATTTTTAAAACTGCTTCATTGAGATGTACCCTGGGCACTCACCCTTGGAAGCACACAAGTCACATTTTCAGGGGTTCAGAGACCCGCAACCACCGCCATGGCACTTTCAGGACCTTCCATCACCCCGGGAAGAATCCTGTGCCCTTAGCTGTTGCCGGCCATCGCCCCTCCAGTCCCCCGCCCCTGGCAACCGCTGGTCACTTTCGGTCTCCATAGACTTCCCTGCTCCGCACACCGCGCAGACGGGGCGTCCCAGTGACGGGATCCTCTGCGTTCGGGATCTCGCACGCAGCGCGGCGCTTTCAAGACTCCTGCACGTCCTGGGGTGTCCGCGCCGCTGCTGCGCTCAGGGCTGGGTGGACAACGGGGCGGTCCCTCCTGGGACGCTGTGAGCATGCGCGTGCGCTTCCCCTCGCTTGGGCGGATCCTAGGAGTGGGACCAATGGGTCCTAGGGTGACGCCACTTTGGGTCATCTGGGGAGCCTGGGACCGTTTTCCGTAGCCGCGGCCCCACCTTACGTCCCCCCAGCCTCCTGGCCCAGTTATCACAGTGTCTGAATTTGCAGTGTCGCCATCCGAGTGGGACGTGCACAGGCAACTGCGTGGCGGGTGGGTGGCAGGGAGCAAGTGTGAGCTCCACGCCATGCAGGAAGGCGGGCTGCCCCTGTGCCGTGGCTTCCACTCGGAAGAGGGTTCCGAGCTCCCTCCCCGCGCTCCCACCCTGATGCTCACTCTGCCCCGCGGGTCCTGCGGGTTGGCACTGAGGCCAGGCTCTGGCTGGTGTCACTGTCACCGGAGGCATGGATGGCTGTGTCACCCAGCTCACGATTCTCAGAAGCGGCCCGGGTCCGGGGGTGGAGGGGGTGGCTCTCGGGTGGATGGCTGCGGGATGGGCCCGGCTGCGCATGTCCTGGGGGGGCGGGCGCGCGGGGGAGGGGGCTGGGGCTCCAGCGGTAATCCTGCCCCCTGGCGGCCGCAACCGACACTCGGGGCTCTCCGGCCGCACGGCGCCCTCTAGGGGCCGCCACGGGGTGGGGGGCGGGACACACGGCTGGTGAAGCTGCAGGAGGGTCTGATCTCCTTATGAGCGGCCCTCTGTGTCTGGCTGGGACGCGCGTGGTCTCCGTTAGTGCCCCCACGGCCCTGCGGGCGGGAATAGTGGCCGTCCCCAAATCACAGGAGAAGAAACCGAGGCACGGAGGGCTGAGCTCGCCTGTCCGCCAGCAGCCGTCCCAGGGCCGAGGGCAGCCGGCCCCTTCCTCAGTAGGACCAGGCACTCCGACTAGCCTCCATACGCGCCGCGCCCGGCGGAGTGGCGTGAGCCTGGCCGGGGCCGCCCTGCCCGAGGTGTGCAGGTGCAGTGGCAGGCAGGAAGCTGGAGCATGTCTGGTGGAGTTCCTTTAGTTTGCTTGACACCTTGTTAAGTATGTGTGAGTGCTGAAAATGTTGCGGGAACCTGGGGGGGGGTCCCCTGGCTGGCAGAGGGCTCGCCCCTGTGCCCCCATCCGTGCATACATTGTGATTCGGGGATCATCAAGAGGACTGCTCAGGCACAGGTCTTGTCCGGGGAGCGAGTGGCCCTGAATAAACTGTGAGTGTCCTGACCCCTGGCGGCCACCCTGCCTGGGGACACACCTGTGGGAAGAGCTGGGAGTGTAGGACCGTGAGCTCCAGGTGGCAGGGACCCCTGGGGGCTCTCAGGGCTCCCTCCTGGGCTCCCACCTCCCTGCAGGGAGCTCCCCACTTCCAGGGTGGAGCTCAGGGAGCCTGTCTGCTTCCCGCCCCCTCCGGTCACCGCGGGGAGGGGCCGATGTCAGAGGGAGGAGGGAGCGAAGGAGCCAGTGGGGGGGGGGAGGGGGAAGGTCCCCACGTGGGCTGCCGAGTTTCCATGCGCCATGTGAGTAAGACGAAAAGGCCAAAGGTTGGCGGTCAGAGGCTGCAGTACAGTCACGGTGCGGCCGAGGTGAACCGTGGAAGTGGTGGTGGGGCGGGTGTGTGCACACAACAGGGCACACAGGCGACACTTGTCGCGTTAACCCACGTCCCCCCAGGTGACTGCATTTCAACAAATAAGTAACGGAAGAGAGCGAGGCACAGAGGAGGTGGCCTCGTAGGGCCGGCAGCCCCAGGGCCGCGCGGGCGCTGGCGCCGCCTCTCCCTGCGCCTCCTGGGGGAACCGGCCCCTCCTCACCCGGGTCCCGGGCCTCCTGCTGCTGACCAGCTCACTGCGCAGCTACCCAGTGTGGGTTGGGGGGGGGGGGTCAGTTAGGGCAGCCCCGGGAAACACACATCACGCACCGTGGGGACAGCACGCTGTCTCCCCTCGCCCCGGAGGCCGTTCCAGAAGCCCGCTCGGGACCGCGAGAGCCCAGGGCGCATGCGCCAACCATCGCCCCCACCCCCGCACCCGCCTGGCCTCGGAGACAGCCCTAGAGGGAAACACCTACCCGAAAAGCTAAAATGACATTATTTCACTGAAAGAGGATGTTGGGACTGACACGTATTTGTTGCGTTTTTATTTCTAAACACATTTTCTAAATGTCTTCGCAATGCCTCTCCCAGTGAGGACGGCCGTCAGCGGCTGCCTTGCAGAGACCACAGGGAAATTGGGCACGCAGCAGCCCGCACAGCTCCCAGGAGAGGAACCCCCGAATCGGGCCTGGGAGCCTGGACCCCGCCCCTGGCTGCTGTTTCCGCATCTGTGCTGCCCGCTGTGGGGCGCCTCAGACTTAGTGCCTCAGCCCCAGACGCGGGCCGGCCCGGCCCTGCTGCAGACCGGGAAACTGCAGCAGCGGTGTGACCCGGCCGGGAGGAGGCTTGTCAGGGGCAGAGCCTGTGCGGTTTCCAGGGAGCCCAGGGCAACACAGCACCCGCAAACCCGGTCCCGCCCTCTGTGGGAGATTTGGTGAGGGGATGGAGGCCGACCGGCCGTCACCTGCTTGCCCCGACCTGCCCTGTCCCAGCCCTTGGCAAGCCTCTCCCCTGACAATGCATCCAGGAAGCCTTGACGCGGAAGCGAGATTCCAAACATCTCTGAGCCTTGTGGGCAGCTGCCCCGTTCCTGGAATCCACTGCCGCCGCTTCCAGACAACCTGAGCACCTGGGGCCCTCCCGAGGCATGTGACCCCACCCCCTGCTCCCCTGAGTGTCCACGACTTCAGACCCGCCCAGCACAGAGGGCCCCAGGCCTTGCTCCTGCCCCCAGAGGTCCCAGGCGTCCCCCGCCCCCGCCAGGACCAGGCACTGCGGGGAGATGCCTGGCTGGCATGGCTCGAGGTGTCCGCTCACAGCCAGCCCAGCGACGCCGACAGGAATGCACAGAAATAGAGTCGTCACTGTGGATGCTGACCGGGTACCTACCCGTGCATGGCGTGCGCCAGCTGCCACAGCCCCAGGCAGGCACGTGGCCTCTGCCAAATGCCCTGCTGGTTGCTAACAGCCGAGCTAGCCAGCAGAACGAGCCAGGGGTGCAGAGGCCCTCCAGCCTGCCCCACGCGGTGTGGGCTTCTGGGCCCTGGCACGCTGCCACCTGCCCCGTGGGGCCCTGCGGGAAGGGGGGGGGACTGGGCCTGAGGGACATTGGCTCACAGACCGCCGGGTGCCAGGAACGGGGAGTCGGTGGGGCAGCCCTGGCTGGCGTGGCTCCCTGGGTCGGGGGTCGCTCCGCAGACTGAAGGGTCACCAGTCTGACTCCTGTTGGGGCGCGTGCCTGGGTGGCAGGCCGGGTCTCCGGGTGGGGGCGGGCAAGGGGCACCCGATCGGCGTTCCTGTCCCCCCCCCTTCCCCTGTCTCTAAAAATAAATAAATAAATAATCTTTAAAAAAACGAAGAAGGACTCAGAGGCTCCGGGCAGCGGGAGCTTCACCGTCAGGGCCACGACGCTGGCTGGTGGGCTCACGGGCGGGGCGGCCACGCAGCGGGCCCCGGGCTCCCCTGCCGGCCCGCCCGCCCCACGGGACACGGGGCTCAGCAGGACTCCTCGCCCAGCCGCTCCGGGGCGCCCGGCTGCGACCCAGGGGGCTGGAGAGGCCTGGGGAACGGGCAGCTGTCCGCAAGCAACGTGGGCGACCGTGCCTCCTCCGAGTCCTTCGACCACGAGCTCTTGGTGACCTCCATCCTGGTGGACCACTTCTGCCACCTGCTGCAGATTCTGGACACCTCCTGCCGAGAGCTGTCTGTGGCCAGCACGTAGATGATGGGGTCGGCCACGCTGTTCACCGTGGCCAGGCACAGGCACACCACGGTGGGCGTGTACAGCTGGCACTCCAAGGTGTCCGTGGTGCCACCCGCGGCCCCGTGGTAGGAGAAGGCGGCAGCCTTGATGAGCAGCACCAGGTGGTAGGGAGCGAAGCAGGCCAGGAAGATGACCACGACCGCGGTGACCGTGCGCCTCACCCGGGCCTTCTGGGCGGCGCCCAGGCCGGCGCTCCGCTTGATGCCCCTGAAGATGCGGTGGTTGGTGAAGGCGATGACGGCCAGCGGCAGGGCGAACCCCACGGCGAACCTCGAGTAGAAGTAGCTGGCGACCGTGCCGTCCATGGGCGAGACCTCGAAGCAGCTGTGCTCCTGGAGCTCCATGGTGAACACCGGGTAGTGAGCCAGCCCCACGAGCAGGAAGACGGAGGCGGACACCAGCACGGCGGTCCGCTGGCGGCGGCGGCCGCGGCTCTCCAGTGCGTAGGCCACGGCCACGTAGCGGTCGCAGGAGATGCAGCACAGGAAGAGGATGCTGACGTACAGGTTGCAGAAGAAGATGTAGGCAGTCGCCCGGCAGGCGCCGCACCCCAGGGCCCAGCGGTGCCCATTCTGCACGTAGACCACCCAGAGCGGCAGGGTGCTGGTGTAGAGCAGCTCGCAGAGGGCCAGGCAGAACAGGTAGATGGCCAGCACGCTGCCCTGCAGCGCCTGCAGCAGCGTCAGCACGGCCGTCAGGCAGTTGGCCGGCAGCCCCAGCGCGCACACGACGCTGTAGACCACCACCAGGCACAGCCTGCTCTCCTCGAACTGCAGGGGGCAGGGCGCAGTGCCAGTGCTGTTGGCCGGCAGCGTGATGCAGTTGCCTGGGAGACAGAGACGGGCGCGTGAGGGCGGCTGGAAGAGACTTTCCAGAGGCGCCGAGAAACGCCAAGACTCGGGGTGGCTCCGGACTGGACGCACCAGGAGCTCATCGTCCCAAGAGAGTTTCTTCTCCTCCAGGTGACGCCGAGACCTGCGACCCCCAGCCGGACGTGTCTCGGAGAGAGGCCGCAGGTGCCCCACACCCAGGCCCCCCGGTCCCTGTTCAAAGGGGCTGCTCGGGGAAGGAAGCTGTTCTCTGACTGCTGATGCAGCCTCTGCCACGCAAGATCTCTGCAGACTCCGGGCAGGCAGGAGAGGGGACACCCGTCTCTGCCCCAGCCGACGCCCCACCGCACGGCCCTCCCAGCCTCTCCGCCCCCACCTTGCAGCCTGGGCCCACCCCGCCCCCACGCAGCCCTGGCGCCATCCCAGGCTGACTGTGTCACCAGCCACGGGACGGTCCCACGGCCTGGGGGGTAGCCGAGGCAGCAACCCCAAACCCAGACGCAGGCCCAGTTGTCCACCTCCGGGAACCACCTGGGCCTCCCTGCCCCCCACCGCCCACCAGCACTGCCCTCTGCTGTGGCCACCTGGCTCTTGGTGCTGTTCGGCCCAGGACGCCTGCCCGGGGCCACGGAGGGCCGGCACGCGGCCTCGGGGCCGCGCTGCCCCTTCTCGGCGCCACGTCGGGCCACCAGCCCTGGCTGTGCGGGTGCGAGCCTGCCCACAGCCCCACGGGTGACCCCTGGGTGGGGGCAGACAGTCCCCCAGAGCAGTGGCGGGAGCTCCATTGGGGGTCGTGGCGGCCACGTGGCCCAGCGTGGGGTCTGCCGTGAGAAACGGGCGCATGTGCGGCCCCCGGGGACGGCAGAGCCTCCAACTGCCCCCCCTGCCCGACCCCGGGGTTCCAGTCTGTCCCGAGGACAAGGAGCGGGCACTTCCCGAACATCCTGACGGGGGCCTCTCACTTTGTCGTTTCTGAGTCAGCCCTCGGTTGCTCATTTTTCGACGTCACGGTCCCCTTTCTGAGACAGAGCGCAAGCGCACTGGGGGGAGCCCCTCCCAGGCCCCCTCCTGAGCGTGCAAGGCCACGGGAGGCGGGGGCTCTCACCTGGCATGTTCGCGGGTTCCAGGGGCGGGGGGCGGGGCACCGGCTGTCCAGCGCACGCTGGGTCCTGTCGGTCCTGCCGGGAAGGCCCCTCGGAGTCGGGAACGGCCTGGAGAGAGAGCAGGTGGGACAGCTTCAGGGACACCGGCTCAGATCATAAGCAGCCGTGAGCCCGTCGGCAGGTGGGGACTGTGAGCCAGGCCCCGTGCCCGTCCTGTGGCCTGGGCGGCGTGTGTCCTTCGAAGACAAAGAGAGAGCTCTTACCAACCAGCAACAAGAATGCCAACGCCAATGAGCGGATACTTCACAGAAGAAAAAACGGAGTTCCTAAAAAAAACATGTGCTCCATGTACGACGAAAGAAAGTTGAACAACATTTACGCATGGTCGTCTTTTCTCGTCTCTTGGATTGGCAAAAAAAAAAAAAAAGAAGAACCTCTGTTTCTGGTGTTACGAGTGGGAGGAAGTGACGCCCTCGCCACGCAGCACGAGGCAGCACACTGTGGTGGCGTGTTCCCCAGACCCTTCAGTCACCCAGGAGGCACAGCCCCCGTGAGCTAGAAGCCTGTCCCCCAGCCCTCCCCCCGTGAAAGGGGCCCAGACCCCCAGACGGCACCCAGGACGCCCCGCCTCCACCGGGCCTCCTGCCCTGTCCACAGGGGCCCTCAGACAGGCTCCGCTGGACCAGCCCGGGAGGGGCCGGGGGAGGGAGCACTGGACATTCGCCCTCCCCACGCTGCAGACTCGAGGACCCAGCCCTGGGGAGCCGCTGGCCAGCTCTGCCCCGTGGGGCCGGCACGCGTGTCTCCTGGGTGTGCAGCCGGGGCCACGGAGGTCGGGCCGGGAGGGGTGACCGCTGGCTCCCATCCCTACCCCACCGCCTGGAGCCAGCTTCACGGCTGGCCGCCCTGGCCGTCCTCCAGACCAGCCCCCGGCCCCCTTTCTCGAGGGTGTCTCTGCCAGCTGGAGGCAGCAGGAAGCCCAGGCGTCTGCCCGAAACTGCAGCAGGTTCCCTTCCGTGTTCTGAGCGGGACCTGGGGACGCACGCAGCAGAGAGACGTGGGGCAGAAACAGACCCAGAACGGCCTTCGCCCAGTGGCCGTCGCTTCGGAGACCGGCACGTGCCCGTGGGCCCACAGGGTCGCAGGGCCCTGCCCGTCCCGCCCCCGGGTCGCAGCGGGGCAGAGGTGCGGGCCATCCCGGGGCTGTGGCTGAGGGCCACCTGCCAGACGCCGCCCTCCAAGGGGAAGGGGTTGGAGGCCCAGCAGGCCCCAGACCGCCCCCCAGACAGAGACCCAGCTGGCTCTGGGGTGAGGGAGGGAGCGTGGTCTCGGGGGCTGGGGGACCCGGGGGAGAGCTGCCCACCTGCCAGCTGTCTGGACACTCTGGGCCCCAGCGGCCTGTCCCTGAAGGGAGGGCACTCAGGGAGCCTGCCACCCCCACTTGAACTCTCCAGTACTCTGAAGGTGAAAGGCCAGCCCTCCCTCCACGGCCGCCCGGCAGGCCCGCCCTGCCGACAGCAGACCGAGCCTCGGTGGGTGGAATCTCTAGAAACCACTTCTGCAAAAGCCAGCGGAAGTGGTGGCCCAGCAGAAAACCCTCCCCCCCCTCAGAGATCCTTCACGTGCTGAGGTGGGGTCCCGGCCCGCCAGGCACTGGCCTCCAGCCCCGGGCCCCAGCCCCGACTGTCTGGCCCCAGCAGCCTGGCTGGACACGTGGGGACCAGAGAGGGTCCCCAGGGAGGACCAGCGCTGCCGGCAGCAGGCCCAGGCCGGGGCAGCAGGGTGCCGGGGCAGCCCGAGCTCACACCAGCCCCCAGGACCTCTGACACCAGCTCCCAGTCCCACCCCACCGCCCACCCGCTGGCCAGTGCTCCTCAGCTGGTCCTGACCTTGAAACACATGGCTTCAGGTGTCTTTTCAGGGACTTCCTGAACCTGGTGACCCAGTTTGTGGCACTTCCTGTCCCACTGTCACCTCCTCTGCTTGCTGCCTCCTCCCAAGTCCATGACCCCTACCTTGCGCCTGCCCAGCCTCGGCGGGTCCTGGCGTTCCCCTGAGCTAGCAGCTGGGACGCCAGCGACAGCCAGTGTGGCCGGGAATCGTCCCCACCCCACCAGCCCAGAGTGCCCATGGCCCAGCCTGGCCGGTGGCTGGGACTCTGTGGGGAGCAGGCCACCCTCCCCAGGCACAGGCCCCCCCTTGTGCCTGGGACTTCTCCTGGCCTCTCCTGTTGGGGGTCAAGAGAGAGGACAAGGTCCGGCAGGGGCAGCCCCTGCGGCCTCCCACGCTGCCCTTCCTGGCCACGCACAGCAGCCTGCTCTGTCCTCCCCCTGGCCCAGCCCACCTCGGGGACCCCCAGAGCAGGGTCCGGGCTGTGGGGTGATAGACCCCGGGGGGTGGCCCTCAGGGGGCTGCTGCCCCCAGGGCCTCAGGGAAGGGACGGGCCAACCTGGGCTGGTGTGTCGGGGACCTGTGACAGTTGCAGTCTGGCTGGGTCAGCCCGAATTCCCGTCACACCTGCCCCTGGGCTCCAGTTGCCTCCATGTCCCTGCCCCCGCTGGCCCTGGGCACCTCGGGGCCTCAGAGGCCCCCACCGGCCCAGACCCCACAGCCTCCCAGCCCACCCTCTGCCCAAAGAAGCTTCTCCTCACGGCCCTGCTGCCTCTGCCCCCCCCACCCCCCCCACCTACCCCCCCCACCTACCCCCCACCCCCCCGCCGCCCCAGCACTGGCCTGTGCGACTCTGCCAGGGTCTCAGCGCAGCGAGACGCCAGCCCGCTTCCCAGCCGAGAGCAGCGCGGCAGGGGAGGGTGGCTACGCCGCCCACCCCACAGCACCGCCCGCCCCACAGCGTGGCCCCTTTAAATCTCGAGTTTTTCTTCGCCTGCCTGTTTGTTCTGCTATGAACTTCTCATGCAGGCTGGATGCAGTGACAGTGACCTCTGCGCCTCCAGCCCCTGGTCACCGGTCACCGGCCCGTCCTCTGTCCACATCCGTGACACCCCAGTGAGACCCGGCTCCTGGGGCTGCTGTCCGGGCTGGCACCCTGCGAGTTCGTGGACGTGCCCAGCCTCCCGTCTCTCCTCGAGTGCCCCCCGGACCCGACTGCAGGGGTCCGGCCTGTTTGGGTCTGGCAGGTGTGACCCAGCTCTGGACGGAAAGCCCACAGGAGTGAGGTGGTGGGCAGAAGCCAGACCCTCAAACCGGGTTTTCCCGTGGGAACCAGGCCTAGAAAAGGCACACTAACTGTTACGGCTTGCTCCTGCTAAAACTCCCTCACCCTGGTCTGAAACAACACGTGTGTGTTGTCTGTCTTCAAGGTCGTTTCCAAAGCCTGTGTGAATTCCCCCAAGGACGGAGCGAAGCTGCTCACCGCCCCTCCCCCTGCACGTTACTTCCATTTCCTCGGATGGACCCACGGTGTGGACAGCACTACTCCACGTAACAGGTGCTGGACCCTTCTGCGGTGTAAGACCGAGAAAAGCAACAGGAGCCTGTCTAGGCAAGGGTGCCTTTTCCCCGCAGGGCGGCTGCTGCCTGCGCGTTTGTCCTCCTGCAGCCACCGCGGCAGGCTCCGCCGGCCGCCGGAGTCCGCCACACCCGGCCTCGGCTCCGCCTGGGCCCAGGCCTCCCGCCCCGGCAGCAGGTTGCCGTCACCGAGCGGCCGGGGGGTGGGGGGCAGGCCACCCCTCACCGCCCACGTGCTGCTTCCCCGTTTTCATCGATGTTCAAGGTGACTTCTAAGACACGCCTGCGCTTCCTCCGTCCCTCGTGAGGGGGAGCCGCCGCCCCCCCATCTGTGCTCTTGCTCATCTCGCCCCCTCCCCACAAGGTCCCCAGGCGGTGGCAACCCTCCTCAGGTGCCTTGGCCCAGGCAGCCCCCGGAGATAGGGAGCTCGCTGCTCTATACCCCCCCCAACACCCTGTGCCTGTGCGTCCCCGACAGGCACAGGGCACCCAGGAGGCACATGGATGGCCTTGGGGTGACTCTCTCGCCCTGGACCAGCACGAGGCGAGGGCTTTGAGGACACAGTCTCAGGCTAGGGGCCACAGGAGGTCACCCCCTGCACCCCAAACCCTGCTGCCGACACGGCACTGTGGGCACTGGTGCCCCGGAGTCCCTGATGGAAGACCCAGGCTGAGACCCTCCCACAAGCCCACCATTATGCCAGCGGTCAGGACCCCCGGTGGGCCCCCCACCACCACCCCAGGGAGACTCAGGCCCCGCCTGGTGGCTCAGCCCTCCCTGCAGGCCCAGCTGGGTGGGGGCTTCCAGGAAGCGGGGGGTACTAACCAGCTGTCTCCAAAACTCCCGGCCCCAGAGAGTCCCGGCGGCTGGCCGGCGGCTGTGGGATGAGAGCTGTCTTGTAACACTGCAACCTGCCACCTCCCAGGGACAGGCGACAGGAAACAGGCCCAGGCCCACTTCCCCTCCTCACCCGACACCAGCCAGAGATGGAGCAGAAGCCTCTTCCGAGTTCCCGCAAGACCTAACCTGATGTCAGCCGGCTGGGGTGGACACAGAGCCAGCGGCTTGGGCTGCCGGTGCCCGGGTCCCCACAGACAGACCAGGCAGGACACACGGGGGCAGGATGCTTGCGGGGGGGCACCCAGCTCCTGACCCGGCGCCTCTAGGAAGCTGCACCCTCCCAGGAACCCCGTGGGCACCAGGAGGGGCCACAGCCGTCACCGGTCACAGTGGCCCTGGCTCAGCTCCTGACACCCACAACCCCACCCCCATTGTAGCCCCCACCACGTAGGCCCAGCCATGCCCACGATGCCCTGCCCCCACCCCCATCCCGGAGTCCTGTGGAGGAAAGGGGCCTCCACACACCAGCCTGGGCACTGCCTGGCCCTGCAGAGGCGACCCACGCTGGACCCCGGGGCCTCTGTGGGTGGGACTCCTGGACACCGTGTCCCCCTCGGAGGTGCCGCCCACCCCAGCTGGCTCTCAGACACCCGCTAAAACAGCCTGTGCCCCAACACATGGCCTGGGCTTCTCAAAAACACCGCGGCTGCCCGAGGCCCGCTGCCCCACAGGCGGGTCCTGAGTTCGAGGGGAGGCAGGGCAGTGTGGGCCCCTTTCCTGTGTCAGCCCCAAAGGCCTGGTTGTCTCAGCCCCCCAGGCAGGGCCAGGCGGCCTCCGCTTCTGGGGCTTCCTCCGCTGCACCCGTGTGTCCTGGGCCGGGGGTCCCCAGGTGCGCCCCCACCCTTCCCTGTCCTGCAGACTGGGCTGGTCACAGCCGCCTGGGTCCCTGGAGCGCAGGCAGGTCTGAGCACGGGGCCCCCAGCCTTCCAGGCGGCTGGCTGAATGGCTGCGGTGTCCACAGGCCACTGCCCAAGGGTGACGTCCACCTCCCAGGGGCTCAGGCCCAGGACAGCCCTCCCCAAATGAGCAGGTGGAACTGAGGCTCCGGGTGCCCGTGGCCCTCCGTCACTGTCACTCGCAGCAGCCTCCAGAGGCCCGGGTCCCAGGCCGGGGGGGCCTCCGCGGGGGCAGAGCCCAGGTCAGCTGAGCCAGACACACCTTGGGACACTCGGTTCGTGCTGGGGCCTGCTCCCTTCCTCCCCCACTCAGGGGGTCCTGCACCCAAGTGGGTGGGTCCTGGGGGGAAGCACAGGCCTCCCCCCGGTGCCCTGCTGGTTGCGCGATGTCAGCCGAGGCCGCCCCTCGGTTCCCCAGCGCGCTCTGGGGCCAAGCTGGGTGGCAGCTGTGTCCACTCCCGCAGGGCCCACACGGCCCCTGCCTGAGCAGGAGGGGTGCGGGAGGAGGGGTTTGGAGCAGGAGAGGGCTAAGGGGCACCTGTGGCTCAGGGCCCTAGCGCAGCCGGCATGCGGTCGCCTGGGCGGAGGTCTGAGGGCTTCTCCTAAGGGCAGAGTGTCTTCCACCGCGGGGGGCGTCTGCAGACTCCCGTGACAACACCCCCTGGGCCCCCCCACCCCCCGGGAAGAGGGCCACGTGCTTCCCTGGCCCTCAAGTCCCGCTGGGCAGGTGCCTGCGAACCCGCAAGGGCCTCCTCAGGCATCCTGTGTGCGATCCCGTTCTCGCCATCTCGCGAGAGGAGAAAGGGTTCACCTGCGCAGGGATCCAAACCGCAGAAGGCACGGCGGGGGGGGGGGGGGGTGCAGCCCCACGTGACCCCCCTGGTCTGGGTTTTCAGGGTTTTACGAAGAAAAGCAGCGGAGCGTCAACCCTGCGGAGCCCCCCGCCTGGATTCAACAAACACGCGCTCCGAGACGCAAGGCTTCCGAAAGCGGCGTGTTTCTGAGTCAAACGCACACGCCGGGGCTCAGCGCCGGACACCCACGCCTCCCTGCCAGAGCCGAGCGCGCCCTGCCCTCCTGGCCTCTCACCGGAGTGGTGTCGCCCCAGCTTCCCTGCTGGGTCCCCGCAGGGTTCGCCGCCTGGCGAGGCCGGGGCGCCCCAGGTCGTGGGCTGGCTGCGGGTCCCCCTCCCTCGGACGCAGCGCCCCCTTCTGGCAGCCCCTGACACTGGCGTGGGAAGGGACCTGGCGGGCCATCGCATACACTGTCCTACATCCTGGGCTTTGCTTGACTGGGGCCTCGGGGTGCCACTTACTGTGTCTCTCCCCCCTGCGGTTCCTGTTTCTGGAAGTTGGCCCTAAAGCCCTGAGGGGAAGTGACTCAGGTGACAACAGGAAGTGACCGGAGGGCGAGGCGCATGAGGACATGGCTCCCGCCGCTGGCCACCTGCCTGCCTGGGGGCTGCACGGTCCCTCTCGATCTCACGGGGCCACCGTGCCGCCTGTGGCCGAGCAGTGGCTCCCCGTACGTGGTCTCCT